TTATTAAATTTAATCGTTAAAACTTTTAATTATAACCAAAAGTTATAAAATTCATGTGTAAAAATTTTCAGTTGATTTAAGTTAGTAAAAAAATTTGGCGGCGCCCGATATGTACAGCTTAATCGCAGCTTTCCCGACGGTGAATTTGCAAATTTTGAGGTGTCATCGAAAACCGTCTCGTAAAGTACCTAAAAATCCGAATTGATCCAAATAAATGTGATAATTGTTCATTGCATATAATAGTGGACTTTTACTAAGAAAATCAGGAAAATCGGTGATGGGTCAAATTTTGCCTTATCCGTTCTTACGCGGACGGCCTCTTAAATTTGTACCTTCGTAAGTGTTATTAACATACAAGAACATAGCTGTGGAGCCTGGCTCTTTGGGAAGGCGAGGGGGACTAAGAATCTCGACTTTGATTACGAACAAAAAAAAAACTATACGCGTTGCATTTTGAAACTCGTGCCCCAAGCCTAAGGGCCTTAGGCACGAGTAAAAAAGTAGTTAAAACTTGCATATCGGAGAATTTAGGATAAAAATACGGTATAGTATTACTTCCCTTCTGGCAAATATTAATTGGCAAACTTCATAATCCACGCCACTCGATCAGTAGATATCGCTTCAAGCTCTCTGGTCGCGCGACCAGTCACAAAGCGCGGGACTCTAAAAGAAATTCAGTTTTTCTGAAAATTCTAAATAAATGCAACTTCTTTAGTACGTTGAAAAAGACATCAGAAAACTCGAGCCGGTCTTTTGTCTTTGAAATCACGTATCATCTAGAAACCATAACCTTGAATATCATTTTTACGTGTTGCCACCAAGCGTTTATCCCTTAATAATTTTCTGGCATGGTATTGAAGTTTAATTTAAGCACTCCGAATGCCGTCCCGAAAATACTGGTGTGGATATCTGCTAGAGATTTATTATAACACTACATAATTATGAACTGAAATTTGAAACCTAACTTCAGGGGCGGATCCAGCCAAAAATAAAGGATGAGCTTGACCGAATTTTTCGAATAACGCTACAGAACTTGAAAAAAAAATGCTTTCTATTTATATTATACTTCAAGAAACATACCAACGCCCTGAAGGACCTTTGTGGGCATTGTCCGCTCGTACCCTTTCTACGCAAATGCACAAGCGTTTATATATTGTGATGACGTCGTCATTAAATGATTTTATAGGCAAAATATCAAGAGAAAACGCATTTCATTTCTTCAAACTCTTAAAGCTCTAAAGCAAATAATTTATTAAAATATCCGGCGATGGGATGATCCAAAATCACATAATTTGTGCATAATTCTGTTTGAACGCGAAGGCTATGTACAAGGCCACACTTGTAGCACGATAACATTTCATATTCCTATTTTTCAACATAAAAGTTAAATGCTACGACATTATTGGGTAATTTTTTAGTGTTCTGTGAGAACGGGAACGATAAATTTATTTTCAAAAGTAACTGACAATGGCTTCTTTTAAAAAGCTTTGTACGTTTGCGTTGTAATTGTTTGTGCGTTTTTACTGAAAGCTAAAAAACAACGGAATATGATGGCTAAAATGAGCCCAAAATCTTGTTGTCCTTCACCATTCTGCCCCCTTATAAACAAGCTGTGAAGTCTTCTACTTTTATTGATATCTATCAATTGCTAACGTAACAATATTTTGCAAAATCACTTTAGTTTATTTAGATGACAAAGTAGGTCCTTTGATTCCTAGTGTAGCCATATACTTAATGGGGAAAAAACAGTGACTTTCACCCACCTTTAGGTAAGATAGTAGTAATTGATGAATTGATTCCATTAATTCCACGTACTGTGCAATTTCAAAACCGATAAAATTTTTGTTTCTTGTAAGAAAAATATTTTAATAGTTGTCATTAAAGATACATAAATAATCACAACATATTAGAACCCGTCATGACCAATTGACCACACGGTTTTTACATCAAAGAACAATAAGAAACTATTTGAATACTTTATTTAGGTCTTCTTCGAAATCATATATTTAATTTCAAACTGCTCTTGTTTTCTGTGCATCAGCATTAATTCTAACGAACGCATTCTTCCCGGCCATTGTTGGTTGATTTCCAGTCAAACTCCTTTGTCTTCGTTTCACAGTATAATTTGGCTGTACTGCAAAAGTCGCGAATTGTCCTCTTCATCTAATAACAAAACAAAACAAAACAAAAAACATTACCGGAAAAGCAAGTAGAAGCCCAATAGAAATGTGTTCTGTTCACAAATCGTTTTTATAGCATATTGACAAAATTTGATTTGGACACTATGATGTACCACAATCACAAACCTCAGTACGATAGATTAAGAAGCTACCTTCTGTATTGATAATAAGACAGCAGTGGGATAAGAATTGCCAAAAAATGGGACTTAAATTAAAGATCTTCATATCAAGGCTTCATATAAAAAATCAGGCTTCTGAAACTATGAATCTTCAGTTCGAAAACAAAACTCTGTTGTCAGCTGAAGATAAGATTTTTTCAGTGCGCAGTTAGTAAAGATCAAATATGATGATCCATATAGTATATGATCTGATATATAAAAACAGCCTTTTCCGCCTTTCCCTAAGGGTAGCAAGGTTTGGTGTTTGTATTTTTCTTTCTTAAGCTTCTGATAAAACTAAGACGATAAGGTCAAGAAACAAGAGGAAAGAGTTTTTTAGTTACTATACCACGCAGCCCTTCTAATGATTCAAATGTTAAATAGAATCACGCCTTTTTTTATTATGGCTTGTATTCTTACTCCCCGTCTTTAAAATGATTGAAAGCTCTATTGACTGCTATCTTTTTTATTCTTCTCAAAACCAAATACAGTTTTTTTTGTTTTGCTTTGGTTTTGAAAAAAGGATTTGACATTTGAAGGAGATGTAGGTCCTGATGATAATCGCCGTTTCGAAGAAAAAAAAGTTGATTAATATTGAAGTACGTTTCGCCTACATTTTTTTATCAACTTTCTGTTTCCTTACATTTCACATCTTGAATCTAGAACTTTTATGGCCCTACGAGCAGATCTAATAAACATGATATATTTTTTTAAAAACCGCCTTCACTTGTCTGCAAATAAGATTTTTCGTTGCAAAACCACTTAATAAAAGAAAGTGGATAGTAGTTTCAATAAAGACATTTATGTGGATTTCAAGAACGTATATGACACAAAAAAAATAACTTTTTGCGCTAATAGTAAGAATCTTACACCTCCCTCTACAGAGCAAACGTGGTGCACGCGTACGAGTTCATCTGTCTGGGCCGCAGCGTTTCCTACATGGAAAAAACTGACAGAACATAATTTGAGCGTAAGTACGGCGGAACATGGTTGGGATAGTAACTTGCTAAGCATGTCATTGTTTCATCCATCTTTAGAGATATTTTGGAACAGAGAGGAGGTTTTTCAAACAACACCTAAACAACTAGCCATTCTCTCCCCGTGAACTTTACCTACAGCTTGTGCATGCAAACACAAGGACAATTGACAAAACAAGCAAATGGGACATCCTACAATTTAAAAAAGCGGCCCTGGCCATTAAAAGAGACACCCGTACTACGTGAGATAAGGGGTTGAAGACCTCTAAGGAATTAGGATTATTCTAACGGTATAGTTACTGCTTATTCACTCTTTTATTAACTGGGTTTCGAGTATCGTACCAACAAACTACTTTTCTTATAATTCTGTCTTGGTCCCTTTCAGGTAGTAATATGGTCCTACATATCGAGAAAGGAAAGAAACGGAAAGGAAAAAAATATTACACTTGGAAACACCCTTGGACTACTTAATTTATGGATTATTATTATGTTATCCCATGTAATTAAGAAAAAGCTGTCTCACGGTAGAGGATTACCCGTTAAAATTTCATAGAAAACTGAATAAGCTATAAACTTTAAATCTAATTTATTGCGCAGTAAACGCTTTATAAGTGACTCTTCTAAATATAGTACTATACCGGGCGGCCTCTTATTGGAACTTATAGACATAGGTGTGGCAATGTATTTACTGTATGCCTTAGTTTTTTTAGTACCTTAAGTCAGTCACGTTTAAGCATGATTACAATTTAATTCCCTCCAATCCTATTAGCTTTAAATCATTTGGTCAAATAGGAGTATCATGACTGTTGGTTCTTTTAGGCGTTTAAAATGTGGTCGAAGAATTATGACTTACATTACTTAAATGCTTGAAACTATTTTATTCTTGCGGACTGCTTTTTAGGTTTTTTAAAAATATCCCATGATATATGTATACTCACCATAATTTCACTTCTTCGATCCTTGCTAGGTGATGGAGTTTGAAAAATATGAGGCATAAAACACCTGACTTGACTCACTAGTATAAAGAGAGCAAAAACAGAAACAAAAATGACACTGCAGTTCCTCATTCTTTGTCTGATATGTGGTCTTAAAAAGGCTGTTGATTAGAAAGCTTCGGCGCGCCTTTTTTTCTCTTGAAAACTCCAGAAGGTAATATGGTGAGAGCCTGGTTGTTTGAGATCTTTTATAGGATAATACTGGCGCCCTCTGCCGATGTGGTATCTTTTGTAGCGGATATTAATAAATCATTGCCGAATTTCACCTGGCTCTTCCTTCCTATTGGCAATATTCCTGTATGAATATCTCGTGGGCCAGAGATAACAGTACACTTTTGAATGATAGCGACGCTTGACACTTGACTTTATCTAAGATGAATTATGATATATTTTTAATTTTTTTATGATGGTTGTTCTTGGTTTCTTGAAGGTTAATCAAGTACACAGTCTAAAATATAGCACAAGTTTGTTATATATCATTCTAGATATATTGAGTGGTCATCACAAACGTTTTGATGCCTCCTGCCTTCAGGAAGTATTGCTGTCACATCCTTGACACGTTAAACAACCTTATCAGAAAAAAGGTTTGAGCATTGCTCTATGAAACCTCGAGGTATGCATAAATAAATCGTATTTAAAATATTTGGTCTTAAATATTTATGATACTTTTTTTTGGAATGAAGTAATCAAAATAAATATAAACAATGATTTAAAGTATTAATCCTGGAAAACAAATGGATAGAAAAACATGGATATTTTCATAAGTTGGCTTTAAAACGTTTTAAAACTACGCACCAAGCAGCTGGTTTTAGCAAGATGTCTTTCTTTCCTCGGGGGACGCTAAAATATTGAGTCATCCCCTCGCAGAACCACCGCGTCTTGATCAAACAAATACTGAAGAGAAATTGTGTTTGTTAAGTCAAACCAGAATTGTTTTACTGAAATTGAACAACACTGCTTGGTCGTGAACTTATTTGTATAAATGAACCACTATCTAAAATACAAAAGGAAAACAAGGTTTTTGAGCCTTTGAAAACAATTAATAACAATCAAATATAGATAATGAAAACTGAAAGGCAACGTGATATTATCCAAGAGAAATGAGATGATCTGATCTAAACTTAATTAAAGTAGCCTATATTCGTGCAGGTTCTTCATCTCACAATCTTTAAGTAATTTGGCTGCCTGTCAAAACCACATTAATCAGGTTCTCAAAGCAATAAAATAACGTTGACAGTTCGGAAAGAAGTGTTGGAAATAAAAGTGAGTGAATTATTCGACGCTATATGATTATTATTAAGCTTCAATAATGATCTATGTTCACATTAGAATTTAATATCCTTGGTTTCAGAAATGTCTTAACTGACCTTTTTTCCTTCATCGTTTCATGCTGGTCCGATAAAAGACAAGGATCGATCCCCTGTCCTGTGAGCATTTTCTTAAGGAAGCCTATATTTTGAACCCAATGCATTTATGCCTCTCATTAAATTTGAATCATCGCTTGAAAACATTGATCACTAGACACCTGTCGAGACCTTGTACCAGTTATACAAGTGGTACGACCAATACTCCAATAAACCAATACGATAAAAATAAAAAAATTGAAATAATAGTAATAATAAAAATGAAAATATTATTACTATCATTATTATTATTAAATTGGGGACACAAGAAAAACGACAAAAAATAAATAAATAAATAAATAAAAAAGAGAGAAGAGTAAAAAATGAGAAAAGTAAAAATAAAAGTAATAACTGATTAATGATTAATAATAGTGATTAATACTTAACATAGAGGGAATTATTGTTAGTACATTTTTAATCTTGTAAAATTCTGCGAAGTGTCTTTGTTAAGAAGGGAGTAAGAGCAAGATTATTTGTGAATGTCACATGTTCAGTCATTTTCGATCAGTCAGTCAGGTCTTTGTTTTAAAAGTTTTCAATTGGACTTGTTTGTCTTCCTGCTTTATTATTTTGCCAGGGGTAGGGGCCAAAGTAACTCAAAGAGTGTTTCCCATATCGTGTAGCGTTAACTCGAGGGTTGGTAAATTCTACCAATACACCAGTACACCAACATTAAAAAGTCCGCGCAAAGTTAGACGCTAGCCTACTTTAATTGTATGTCATTTCTGGTAATATCTGTTTTGACTGGGCTGCAATCAAAATGTTTAAGCTTGGGGGATCTTGAAGGTTGTAGGTGTATCTTGATTTCGTTTCTGGCTTTAAGCCGTAGAAGTAGTAAGATTGGTACTCTAAGGAATCATTTTGACATGTTTTGACCTGTACGTACATAGCTAGTTTTATATGTCTCATTTGATATCTTGCATCTCATTAGATATTTGTATAAATGTATACTACAACGTTTCTGCAATCAAGTGTGT